ACTTGTCTGGTTAGTGTGTACTTTGTCAGTACTATCTGCCGGTGTTTTCAGGGTGAACTTCTGTCCGGTGATGGAGTGGGAGGAGCTCTGTGTATCGGCCAATCGTGGCCCGGCATGGCTCGCAGTATCTATGGAGACCACCAGAGGTTCATCGATGCGTATTTCAAACTGTACCCAGGTCAGTTATTTCACACACATCTCTATGATTATGATCTGTCTGTGAGCTGGTGTCTTCGTCTCCGTCAGGGTTTTATTTCACCGGGGACGGAGCGTACCGCTCAGAGGACGGTTACTACCAGATCACCGGGCGGATGGATGATGTCATCAACGTCAGCGGCCACCGACTCGGGACGGCGGAGATCGAGGACGCTCTGGTGAGACGGGTTCTCTAAATATACACTGATCATAAAAAACATGTCTATTGAATTGTGACATTTAGATTCAATTAGATCTCATTTGTTAACAAATCAAGAAAACAAAGAAAACAATAAACAAACAAACAGAGCAATGAAATGTGAGATCAATTGAGATTTAATTAAATACATTGAAATAAAATAAGAATAAATTTGATGAATTGAAATTAGTTATGATTAAATGAGTCAAATTGATACATTTATATTAAATTAGATAAATTCAGATGAAATGATTTATTTGAGATAAAATCTGATAAAATAAATGAATATTACATTAATTGAGATGAAATTATATTTATTGAGATAAAATGAGCTGATGAGATGAGGAGATTTTCCTCTTTGTGAATAATAACTAATATTAATTTAATTTAATTTAAATTATAATATATTATAATTTAATTTAATTTAAATTATAATATATTATAATTTAATTTAATTTAACATATATTTATCAGGGCTGTTATTTGTTTTACAGGATGAACATCCAGCTGTTCCAGAAACAGCTGTGATTGGATTCCCTCATGAGATCAAAGGAGAAGGTGAGACCTCAAACACACCTGAACTCCCATGATCCTCTGCTGCTGCTGCTCTGTTTCTACAAGGTGTTAAACTGTCATGTCTCTTTTAAAATAATTATTTATTCATGAAGCACATTAAGAAACAACAAACATTGACCAAAGAGCTTTAAAATAGATTCAATACAACACAGATATGAAGATAAATGAATGAATAAAATCATAAAGCAGACAGTAAAGTAGGAGTCAGTAGTGGTAAACTCTTATATTGTAATATCTATTTGTGATGCTCTGCTGCCTCCTGCTGGTCTGATGAGTGAACAGCAGGACGTGCATAAATATCAACATATGAAGTTATATATAGTACAATAACAAAAACAGTTTAATGTTAATAATCAGAAGAGGATATTTGTCCATCAACATCTCTGATTCATTTATTCATTTATTTAAAGAGTTACTCATGAAGATTGAGGAGAAGATTTTGTAGTTCTTTCTGTTTTTGGATGAAAAAATTATTTCAAGTCAACTTCAGTTTATTCATTCATCATGTTGTTTAAATGTGTGTGTGTGTGTGTGTGTCTCTGTGTGTCTCTGTGTGTGTGTGTGTGTGTGTGTGTGTGTGTGTGTGTGTGTGTGTGT